GTTTATGTCATATTGTAGAGTACGTTTAACACTATCCCTACGAAAAGTTTAAAGAACAAATTTGGAGCCATTTATTAGATTTTTTTGAAATTGCACATATTGCTCCCAACATTGCATTAAATTACTAAAATTTTCAAAAAATGTGCATGGCATATGTTTCTTGTAAAATTAGAGTAAAATACAATTATAAAGGTAGTATAGGTCCGATTTTCACTGTTATCTCTGAATTTCGAAAAATTTCAAAAGTTTGCATTTTTTCGTTGTTTTTTTTCTACACCTACAAAATTAAAGTTAGATATTTATCCTTCAAATATGTTCTCCGCATTTCGTTCAGTTTTTAAGGTAATATTAATAAAATGGTAAAAAATTAAGGTTAAGTTAATATTTCAAAAAAATAGTAGTGTTCGGGCTATGTTGGGAGAAACGTGCAATTCTAAAAAATAAAATACAAGCTTTTCTCAAAATCGGTTTCAATTTTTTTCTTTGAAATTTTGGTAGGGATAGTACTGTAACGTTTCTCGGTGTTGAATACACACTCGGGTAACATTTAACAACGTTTATTCGTGAACAATTATACACTAAAACCACTAACACTAAAAACTACTTGAACTATATACACGTAGATTACACAGTTCTTGTGCTCATTTCCTTTCTTCTTACACACGACTCCTTTCTCTTGATTATTTATTTACACAGTTCACCTCATATCACTATTTATTTACACTGTTCTCTGCAATCTGATAATTTATTTACACTGATCACTTCTTCACAGTATCACACAGTCCGCTGCACTGTCCCACCAGTTGGAAGCCCTGGTTTTGTCGCTAGCGTTGTTCATAGATGGACACACCATCATTCGATTTTTCGGTTTCAAGGACCTACAAAACTGGTGAAGAGGATTTTTCTAAATTTGCCACTGGATTTATCCACTTTTTCTTTACCAGAATCCTGTATTAAGAGTTTTTCTGCCACAAATTTGCAGTTTTTTCGCGCAGCTTAACATAACTTTGTCTCTACTCTGTAAAAATATTTTCGGATAATCATTAAAACAAATTGAATCGTATCGCAACATGAGCTGAGTGTGGTCTGCGTCTTTCTATATAATCTGTAATATGACATATACGACCACAACATTTTGAATAAAATGTTTCTAAATAACCGATCATACTCGACTCACAGTCGGGCAATTATATAGCATCCCTAGGATGGGGGAATATAGTAACTAAGAAGCGGATTTTGATGACCTAATACATCGCCTACAGTGAATAAAATAATCTTAAAATGTTTTTAAAATGCTCTAAAAGTAAAGAAAATGTAAAAATTGTTATCAAAACAAATCCAGGTACGAAATTCAAGCTGTTGGATAAGTTAATGGTGTAATCGCAGTATCGGATCGAGGGGTCCATGCTCCCCCCATAAAAAAGGCCCAAACAAAAAATAATAAAATGGTAAAAGTGCTGGGAAAATAAAAATTAGGAACACAAGAAAAATTGCAGACGTCTAAAAGTATCGATAAAGTAACCGTGCGTTGTCCTTAGCATTTTAGTTACAAATCTTGATTGTCGCCGTATTTCAGTACAGTGGTACGTATGGAATATGTGAATTCGACTCTTCTCCAAAAGGCGTGTGTCACCTCATATCTCTTTCTTACTCCGCCTGACAAGCGGTGCTACGACGACTTCCAGGTATTGTAGTGTGGCCTACACAACCCGAAACTGTGTTGACGAAGTAAGGTCTCTCTCTAGGTGCCAAGCGAGTGATCGGGGGCCGCTGTGACATTTTGCGCAATTGCAGTGAGCTGGAATGAAAAGAATGGGGCACAGATCGCTTACATGCACCTCGAGACGGCGCGGTTAATAAGTACTTAAGAAGAGAAAGAAAATATCTAAAAAGAAAAAGAGAAAGAAATCTAATAAAAAGTAGAAAAAGCTTGAGACATATTTTGTGAAATCCTGTAGACTTTCATCAGTCCTGGACAGTAATGTTTGTAAGCGAATGTTTAATTTGAGGGAAAAAAAAAATTTATTCTCAAAGATTCATGCCGGACAGATTCCTCTATGCCAACATATGCAAAGAAAAATGAAACGAATAAACGACAACTATCGGAAATATTAAAGCTGGGAATATGGAATGTTACAGCTCTCTCGAATAAAGAAGCTGAATTAGAACAGGAATTAGATAAAGCTGGGATTGATATTGCTGCAATTACTGAAACCAAAAAAGTTACAGGGCTGATCAGAATTACAAAATTATATAATGACATACAGAAGAGTCCCCTAAAAACAGAGAGCATCGGCTGGAGTATCTATTTGGATCAGAAAAACATAATAGTATTGTATACTTTCAAAACCGAAAGAATAATAACAATGAGATTTAAAATAAATAGAGGTTACGTTTCAGTCTTTGCCTTGTACACACCAGAAGAAGGGAGAACCCAAGATGCGATAAAATTCTACGAACTACAGACAGCAATAAATAAGATTAATATGAGTATCTTCTTTTATTAGGGGATTTAAATGCAAGAGTAGGGAATATACCTATAAAAAAGATACAGTAGGCACAGAAGGTGAATACACACTTAACAATAATGGGAAGAAATTAATAGAATTTGCCACATACAATGAGCTGAGAATTACTAACACTTCCTTTAAACACCGAAATATTCACAAATTCACATGGACAGCACGTGGATCTGCCTCTATAATTGATTACGTCCTTGCAAACAATAAGACTTGGATAAATATCAAGGATGTAAGAGTATTGATGTGTCATCTGACCATGTCTTAGTAAGATGCTGCATAATGTTCCCGAAGTGAAGGAAGAAAACCATTTTAAAACCCAAACCAGAAATAGAAACATTTAAAGTTAACCTTTTACAAGATTGTAGCGTAAGACTTTTATACCAGAGTAGACTCAACCAGAAAAATCTTATTAACCCTATAAGTAACAATATAAATGAAGAATGGGCAAACATTAAAGAAATTATAACACAGGCAGCAACAGAAGCAATTGGGTCAAGGAAAAAGAAATTTTCAAAACGAGGGCTAAGGTTTTGGAATGATAATATCAAACAACTAATTAAAAAAAAAAAAAAAGAAGCGTATTTAAAGACTCTCTCATCTTCTGGGAATATGAATCATAGAATGGAATATAAAAAAATTGCTTTAGTTAAAAGAGAAGTCCGTAAGCTTAAACGAGAAAGTTGGGAAAGATATGTTAGCGAAATTGAACATGACTTATTTGGAAACCAAAGTAAGGCATAAAATTATAAAATATTTAAATAATCAAGAAAGAGATAAAGTTCAATTAAATATAATTTCAGAAACTAAATGGTTAAATTACTTTAAATCACTATGGACCTCTGAAGATGAAGAAGAAAAGAGGGGAATTAAAATTGATGTACGTAATTCTGTTGATCTGATCTCTGTGGATGAGTTGAAAGGAGCCTTTAACACAACAAAAAATAAAAAGGTTACCTGGTACTGATAATTTAACATGGAATTGACCAGATATGCATCAAATGAATTTATGCAGAGACTTCTTAACTTTATTAATATCTGCTGGTCCACTGGATACGTGCCAGAAGAACGGAATGAAACCCTTACCCACTATATCAGGTGACAAATCAGAATGTTCAAATTATAGGGCAGGTTTCACCAACCAGAATCAAGATGATGATCCCCAGTCATTGAAGATTTATTGTGGGGAGAGACACCACGAGTAATTCCCAAAAGAAGCAATCATTTTGAACGAGCATTAAAACTTTCTTTGCATTTGCTCATTGAGCTTTCAAGTAATTCTCATTCAACTGGAAAGAAATTGATTTGACAATAATTTTTTTTCTGACAAAAATTCACAGTTTTCAGACGCACAATTACATAACTTTCTCTTCTTACAAAGTACTTTGTAAGGGCAAGAAAGTAGAAAAGATTAATACAAGCAAGAATGCAAGAAAAAAAGGAATTCGATCGACAAAGAAGAATGAAATAAAATTATAACACAAATAGACAAGTATAAAGCAAAAGATCAGATGAGCCAATCTCTACTCCATATCCAAATCTTCACTTCCCTGCATGTCCCTTCGGTAACCTGCAATTTAATAATTAACTGTACATACATCGCACTTTGCCTGCACTTTTGTTGGCCTTCACTACATCACATTGTTCTTTAATTCCGCTCTCAAGAAAATTGGAACGCATATTTCGTGTGCTCCTGGGAAGGGTCACCAACACCCCTGCAGGTTAATTGTACCAGTCAAGAATGGTTCTATTCACAAAACTGAATTTTCCTTAATCTGTCACTTTCAGCATTTTATTTTGTGTGATTGGTCATCCCTACTTAAGTAGCATGACATTTCAAATCATTCACTGATAGCTTCCTTGCTAGTTTCTGCGTACGCCTTGAAGAGTGCACACTGTTGTGCTGCCTTTCTACATGTCAGATTCTCAGTTGACTTTCCCCGTTGTGTCCGTTCGCAAATTTAGCAGTCATTCTCTGGTTTAACGCTTTAATCTGACCATCCCCATGAGGAATGCTACTCTTACGGGATAAACCAGATATGTAGGCCTGCATTTTCATGTTACAGTTAGCTTTCCGTAAAACACACTTAACACAATCAAGAGATTTTAATAATATAAAAGATACGCTGGGAGCATTCAGGATATTCTCAAGAATGAAACTTCAATTCCCAAGTACCCATAGATACTCCTGAGAACCAAAACAAAAAAACGGTCAGAAAGCTACTTCACCATTTTCTATGAAAAGGCCAGATGTGAAAGAGAAGGGACACTTTCTGATGAATCAGGGAACACAGAGACCTTTACAATTATTTTGTGATGGGATAAGATGTCTATTTCTTCTTTCAATTCCCAAAATGTACATGAACATTTCAACAGGTGATGTGTAGTAGTCTAGCAAGAAAAAACAAGGGAGGGGGGGGGGGGATTACGGTAAATATACATCTAAGAAAAAGAACAGATTCATATTTTATAATAAGTAGGTACAATTCTAAAAGCTTGTACATACTTATCACACTAACGTAAGTCATGGTTAGAGAAACAAAACTGTATTCAATTTGTAATATAAAAAAAAATTGCTTCTTAACACATCAGGGTAGAAACAGTTGGGTGCTTCACTAGTCTAGTCCCAGCACTCGCCGACGGTACTATTGTACAAACAAGACCATTCATTCACACTATCTGTCACCGGCAGCAAAATTGTATTTTTATGTATATTTTTGTGATATACTCCCATGTTATAGTTATGATCCTGGAACAAACTATTCCCAGCACCAGTCAAGTTTTGTTCCAGAGGCAGATTTGTTACTAGACAATAGATTCTGGGATCTTCATCGATCGAGTGTGCTTAGGACTAAAGTTTCTGTTCACAAGAAATCGTAACTAAATGCCTAATTTCACATAATTTCAGTTATTGCCATCCTTGCTTTAAACTGAATTATAATTTTAAGGTGCTAATATCAACATAAAATGTAGAAATAAAACAAAAATATCATCAAAGATTATATTCTCTTATGGTCTCTACATAAGATTTTTCAATATTTACAAATGTGCTATTTATAAAATGGTGGCATTACGATTGTTTACAAAAGAAGGCAACAGTTGCAGCCAGGCTAACCTTGACTTATAAAGAATGAAAACCATCCATTTTCTTTATGGTCAATATTTCAATAATTTCTTTCATGATATGTAATAAAAATACATGTATGTACAATCATCCATCATTTTGTTTGTTTCTTTCTTTCTCTCATATATATATATATTTATATTATATACATAAGCTACTTCAATTTTCTAAAAATTAATTATATAATATGCAGTCCTTTTGCTACTAGATAAAAAAGTTTCTCAGATTTATCAGTGCCTGTAATTGATGCCTTCACCACCTAGTGAATGATACATCGAATACTTTTAGCCATATTTCATATGGCCTCACAATTGCATTGCATTTTTCAAAAAAAGATTAGGAATAAAGGAAGCACTACATTTTCCCCGTGTTAATCAACAGTAAAGAATTACATGGATAATTAAAATTTTACAAGTTTTATGTGGTACTAAAAGGTGTCAAAATAATCTTGTCATTGCTAATCTGAAATTTGACCAAGCTCAAACAGCAGCAAAAGGATTGCAAAAACAAGTACAGTGGATATAGAATCGTATCATTTGCAGGTGAAGCAATATTATTCTCTTAGTTTAAAAAAATAGTTGCATCACTTTCAAATCATAAAGTGTACATCACATAGAATAAGTATAGAAAAAGTGTTTGTAATATCTGATCAAGATTAACACCAATACCCAAGAAATATTTGAATGAAAATTGAAAATTACCATAAATATTAAATATTTATCCCAATAACAATTTTGATTTAAATATGCAGCGACATACATTATGTACATCAAATTTGCAACATTCTCAAGGAAAAACACCACAATAAATGTAGATAATATTAATACAAGTCAGAAGTAATTGTAAACAACAAATTACAAGTTGAAGGCATTTTACGCACAATGAACACGAAAGAATGAGAATGTGAGTAAGTAAATCATCACTTCCCTTTACAAGTTAAATCACCTACACACCAAAAATATTGCATCTGAAATGAAATATTAGTAACACACTATTCATAAAAGAACTATCTCCTTACACTGGGGCTAAGCGTAAACAGCAAGACCAAATTACAGAGAAATGACAACAGGATAAATTATAGCATCACTAAATTTAGACTCAAATGAAAAACAATGACTAGTAAGTGCTATTCTGTTAAAAAATAAAATTATAAGCTACTGAATGGAAATGTAATATTTCATAGTCAAATTAACACATTCAATAAATGATCTCTCTAGTTAAATACAAACTGTTTTACCATTAAAGTACTTTGAAGACCAAAAAAAAAAATTATATTTTTCACTTGGGTTCTGTAATCAACATACAGAGTTGTACCACAATACATCAACATCAAATGAAGGTACAGAAAAATATTTCTACATTTACTAACTTCAAAAGACACTGCAGTCTGCAAGTCTCTCAGAAAAATATTTCAGCAATCAATATATCTTAAACATGTCCCGCGTAATTGAGAATGTAGCCCAATTTCATGGTGTTGTTATGATGCCAAAATGACCTTGCTCAAGCTGGAGAAAATTCAATTATACATTATACATGGTGCTGGTTAAATTTTACAAAATGCACATAAAATTGTACTAACTGTCCTAAAAAAAAAGAGCACCAGAAAAAGTACTTTTACATTATCATGAAAATGTATTTATCCCTATAACAGAAATAAAACAATGAGTACTGATAAAAAAAAACATATATCCTTCATGGTATCAGTTTTTCTTTCTCCGTGGCAACAATAAAGCATAAAACAAAGTTCTTTTTCAAAAATTTGAAAAATTAAATTTATGCAACACAAGCTTTAAGAAACGAAGCCCACATTCTCCAACAGTTAAATGTAATTTTTTCTTGGATTAATAACTGATCCAATTAATTTCATTCTTATGGTTTTATCATTTTTGAGATGCTCATAAGAAAATAATGTTAAAACGCTTCACATGTTTGTATCCCCCATATAATACATAAAATGACATTAACAAAAATTTATTGAAGTACATCAAGCGAGGAAAGAATAGCCTAGAATTTAGGGATTTCAATAATCGTACTTTTTCATAAATTGAAGTAAAATTAAATAAAGGAATTAAACAGTGTAATTGGCATATCTGCTAACTTCATTGTCAAAAGAAAATTACATTTGATTTATGGCACAAATAACACATTTACCCCCTGAGTATGAACCAAGATGACCATCTTATGAACAAACAGTTGCGTGCATAAATGCACACAATGCATAAACTTGATTGTGTACAATATTAAATTTCTCTTCCAGCATATTCATAATCCATTAAACTTAACTTTGGCATTGTATTATAATTTCCATCACAAGCCTTATTGGAAACTTGAACTACGCAGCCACAGTAGTATTACAAGTACAATATATTACATCTGTAACAACATTTTTTGTTTGTTTTTTTGTTCTTGTTTTCTCTATTTTTTATAAAACAGTTCTTCTTAAAATTCTCTTCAACATACAAAAAAGCAGAACGATGCTCAGTGTCCAAGGTACTGTGTAATGCAAACATCTCAACCTCACACATAACTTGCCAAACCTAAAACTCAATTAATCACTCGCACTCTGGAGGGAATATGTTCAAATGTTCTCCTTCCCTAGAATCCAAACACCCACTTCTCATGCATCATAACACAAGCAGATATAACCAGTACAATCACAGCTCCAGTAATCGGCCTCTTCCAATCATCTTTAAATTATAAGTATTTTCTTCATGAAATTCAATTTAATGCCATCTGAGCATCAAATGTCATAACATTGCACTTTGTTGTCTGTCGTAGTACACTTATTCCGCACTAAAGTAGAGTTATTCACTCTTTTGCTGGCAGTACAACTCCTTTAGAGATTTTAATTCATCTATTAAAGCCTTGTTTTGATTCTCCAAAACAGCCACTCTATTTTCTAAGCACTTAATGTATTCTTTTTTCTTTCTCCGACACTCTCTGGCAGCCTCTCTGAAAAATGCAAGTGAAAATAAAACTAATTAACTGAAATCCATTTACAAATTAATTTTATCACACATGCAATGGCATTATATAAATGAAAGTATTCTGAAAATTACATAATTCATTTTTCTTTCACAATAATTGTTGGTTAAAGCACTAAAATAAGTTTGTATCAAAGCCCAAAGGACCAATAACTCTAATGTTTTTGTATATCACATCAAAACAGAATGAAATCTGTTTAATATAAACAACATTGCTACTATTTAATTACATATTCTGCATTATCATAATCATCATACACACCTGTTTTTAAGCAACCTCATTTCCCTTTTTCTTGCTTGATCTTCTGCAATGATAGGTCCCCCTCCTATGCCTCCACCTTGTGTCACAACTTAAAAAATAAGAAGAATACTAATCATACGATTTTAATAAAAAATATTCTACACTTGCACTGCTTCAAATCATAGTTTTTACCTCAAAAAGGGCAAATACAAATAATTCGTACCTGGCACAAAGAACTGTCCATCCTGACCTTGGGAAGCATAATGAACAATTGCACCACCTGTTGATGCGTTTGTCATTGTCAATGTATGAAGTCCTTGAACAGTTTCACCTTGACTCGCTAACTGTATTGTTCCAGGAATAACTAAAACAAAATAGTAATGATTAAATTCAAAATCTTTAAGCATATGTACTGCTGAAAATAAAGGGTAACAATTTAATAAATAAGACCTGAAATTTAAAAATTTGAAATTAAATTAACTTAATCTAACATTTCTGTTTCTTGCAAAGACTATAAAACCTTGTTTGTAACTTAGGCACATGTAAGAAATATTACATTACTTAATATATTATCAGAATTTTAATAAAATAATTAACATTTCCATTAGGCGCAAGCACATTGATAAACATCATTAAAAATACTGATATACCGTAATTGACCAGAAACCAAAGCACCATTTTGGGAACTTAAAATTATGAAAAGAGGGTTTGCATCAAATTAAATGCCATGAAATGACAGAATAATAGGTATGGTATTTTATTTAAAATTATGTAATACAAGGGATTTATCATAAACCATAAGATTATAGAATTGAACCAATTGATTACAAAGACTCAATAATAGGCCAATCATAAACGAAACAAAATTTAATTAAAAACCTCCAGCAATCCATGATGACATAATGAACAAAAAAATTGAATAAGGTTACAGGCATTCTATAGAACGGATTTGCACTTGAATTTAATAGGCACCATGATTTTGTGTACTGCATTTGGTAAAAAAAAAGTGCACATTGGATTCAGGTGAATATGGTATGTTCTAGCTTCGGAAGTAAAATCAAAAGTATCTTAATTAGTAATGTCATAAAAGTTTTAAGCTATATAACTTAGTGAAGTACTTCTGCAATTTTACCATACAATAACATAAGGTAGAAGATAAAGAATATTTACCAAAAATAATGAAAATGAATTGTTACAAAACAAATATACAAAAAGATTCAGAGTTTAATACTGACAACCAATTAGAACACACAATATACATGCAAATAGTTAATGGGAAATAGGAATAACAATCAGTAGTCAAACTTTTCATTAGATATTTAGTTATTAAGTGTATTAATATTTTCGTTCGTTTCCACAGAACTAAAAGCTGCCCACGAAGTTCTATTACAGCTGTACTTAAAACAATCTTTGTACAAAGTTCACCAAAATCCTGTCAAAATCATCAACAAAAAATGTAAATAAACATTTATATTACTAATGTCCAAAAAAATTGAAAGAAAACTATGCAGCCTCCATCCACATGAGAGGGAGCTGTGGTTTCATTAGATGTGCAGTAACTATGAAAGTTTTGATTTTGACAGAAATTATTTGATTGCATTATTCCATCTTTACTCATGTACATGCCAAATGAATTAACATACTGTGTCACAGCAGTCAGGTGAACAAAAGGCAAGAAATAGGCCATCCGCTATTAAATACACATGTGTGTTTTTGAACAGCAACTTTATGCTCTTAGCACATAAAGAACTGTTCTACTGTATATATACTACATTTTGTTATTGCAGAATTTATGAAGATTAGTTTTTGTTACAATATTTAATTTATTACAGTGTTATATGAAAGTATTTTAACTATTTTTCTTGAGCAGTGTGCATGCATTTTGGTTTGTTTTGGTTTTGTTATGGTGTGTTTTTGCTGCTGTAAGCCACAATTTAAGTCTGACTCATATTTCAAATTTAATAATCTTTCAATCCAATGGAATTAAGTTATGAACGTCATAATTTGAAATAGAAATGAATAAGAAGAGAAGGGAAAATTAATACACTAAATGCCTATAATGAAAGGTTCATTTATTAAACTACTCACTAAAATCTATTTTGTTTCCAGGAACTATGAAAAAGTTCTTTAACGCATATTAATTTGTACAAATTCCCTGCAGCTAGCAAACTGCACTCTTCTGAAGGCGCAAAGCCAATTGAATTTCAACAGTAAACAGTTTTATGTGAAAAACGGTATCCTGATGCTGAACTAAGCAGAAACTTGCAACAACATTTTGGGCACCATCATTGAATTCAGGTTAACAAAGGTCACATTGCACCCTGGTAAAAGACTGACAAGTAAATTTTTTTTTAAAATGGTTATTTGGTGCAAATCGATTTTTTTCTACTCCCTTCATATAATTCACATATTAGACACCTGCAGTTCATTGCATAATAAGTCATTATGATTCAACTTCATTACAGAACAGGTGTTTGACCTATCGCTGAGAAGTAATTGGTCATAGGCCACCAGTTTATTAAATATTTCATTGGACAATTCATATTAATAAAAAGAATATGAATGGTGCCAAGGCTATCTGTACGGGGAGAGGTAAGGAAACAGGAGATTGGTACGCCACACATGCCCTCCCTCGTTTCCAAAACGACGACTGAACTTTCTACAAGGCCTCTGATTAAGCTGATCTGAAATAAAAACAGATACGGAACTTTGATGAGATTTCATTAATAAATTGAATCCTAACTTGTGTGCCGCTTGTTTGAAGTCCGACTGTGTTTGTGCTTAACCAATGCCATTTGGGACAACTATATCACTGTCTACTAGGTGGTGTTGGCTCAACACTGCTTGCCAGCTGCCTTGTAACTGTTCAATGTAAAAGTTTAACTTACAAAAGTTATTATTAGTTGTAGAAAATGTACTGTATGAAGTGTACAATACTCACTTGCTCCTCACTTATACTGTTATATCACTTCACACTTTTAAATTAATACTCATTAGGTTATTCTTTCATCAGATACTTTTATTTGGCGTTTGTAATCAAATCTAAATCCTTCCACCTCACATCACTAATTAAAATAGTGAAATCAAACATAAATACAACAATGTCTTAGTACTTTATGTTACATTACTAACGCAATGGCCAATATGCACTTTCACTTCCTAAAGTAAAATGTATTATATTTTCTATTGGCTCAAAATCTTTAAATACTTAAAAAAAATACTGATTTTCAGTTGTGGCAGTTTCCACCGGGTGAGCAAAATATAAAATATAAGAATAATGGTCCAAATTAGAAAGTCTTTTACGCTTTCATCCTTACTGAAGTGGTAGAAAATATTATCTATATCTACAAGATTTTAAATTATGAATTCTGTAAGATCAATCATGGAAAATTCATTTTACTTTGTAATAACATTTCATTAGGCAAGTATATGACTGTATCATTTAAACACTTAGGATTGAAAATATTTTTCCTTCATTCTCACATTCTGAAAAACAAAATTTGCTATCAATGTAATCAAAATCTGTCTCTGTAATTTTTATTTAATTTGTTTTTTCTTCAATAATGGCACACCGTTATCTAAATACTTAATTTTAATCTTAAGAAAACTGTGGCTAAAACTCAGATCTTTTAACTCATTCAGTTATCCTAACACTCAAATTATTAATTTAAGTTGCTTTCTGAAAGAAAATCAACATAAACCTTCTACAAAAAGTTCCATGATGCAGCTTATTTCACGACTATAATTACGTAATAACTATTACTACTTTTTGGGATACTATTTGGGGGAGAGTGATGGGGAGATCAATAACACAACTGAATTGAAATGTTTATCCAATCATTTCATGCAAATTATTTGATGACTTTTTAAAAACAATCAGTGTTTTATCCAGAAATGTTTATCCAATCATTTCATGCAAATTATTTGATGACATTTTTTAAAAACAATCAGTGTTTTATCCAGCATCAACAAAAATTTAAAACAATCCTTTAAATTAAAATCCATAAAATTCCACAAAATTAAAAAGCAATTAATTAATTTGTGATGGAAAATTTTCAATTCTAAACTTTTGAAATTAATAGTTTTTGTTCAGACATTCTAATGAATTTCCTTACACACCACAAATGCTTTGAATGCATCGAATGGATGTTTAGTTACATTTGAATTTTAATGAACGTGAAATTTAATACAATTTTGCAACTAGAGAATGTAAGAGTAATAATAATACTAAGGGCATTTTCCCCAATTTAAAAAGTCCATCAAATGATTCATCACCTACACAAGCTTACCAAGCAAAGCTTTACCAAAGTCTCACCACCAACTCTAGATTCCCCTTCCTTCATTCCATGCCGTTTATAAACTAATACATCTCAACCGAGTGGATTAAGTCATCAACACACAAAACATCACAACAAAGGTAATATACAGATCACTAGACCATGAACCCAAGGATTACTCACACTACAGCTGACAGGACACATTTTAACATCTGAAGGAGTACTGACTCATTTTTACCAGAGGGGCACAACATGTACAACCTTTCACACACATTTTTACATAATATACATGTGTACATAATGAAAACTACAGAGGAAATGCACAGGATGAACAAACATTACATACCCGGTAAGCTGACGTTATTTTTTCTTTCTTAATAATTCAGCCTAAGCAAAATTCAGTTGTAAATAATGAATATAAAAGAAGATTACATTTCCCAAACTTAAAAAAGCGCATGCAGAAATTTATTTTGACACAAAATTTCATGATTTATGAAGATTTAACAGATGTATTTGCCATTATTTTCAACTGAATTGCATTTAATGCATATTATCTGTCATGAGGAAGAAAGAAAAGATAGGAAGTTGCCAGCAAGCTTTCTGCTCTACTTTAGATTGACTATACACAAGTTTCCTTGAATTTTGCTTCTGGATAATTTAACTATAAAATTTTTAGTTTAAATAAAATCCTATTTTAGTGAAGACTCAAATTGCTGGTCACTTTTACTTAGCCAGCATTTCACAAAACAAATTTCTATACTCAGCATCTCTGATTGTTCAACTAGACTCAAAGCAACTATGTTCAATAAGCACTGAAAAATTACAATACATTGATCTATATGTCAAAATATGACTTAAGTATTTGACCATCAAAACGCGTGGACAAATTGTAGTAATTATTTGAAACATGAAAGATAAAGCATAGGCAAGCTGGCAAATAATAAATTTGGTAAGGGAAAGGTTTAGTACACTAATTTTGAAATGTACACATAATTCGATATGTATGTAGGGTAACAAAGGATATGCCCCAACTTTGAAAGCAATTAAGGTACATTATACAGATTTATACGGAGGAAAGCTATCGCTGGCCAAAACAGTTTTGTTTTGCATCTGGAAGCTAACCGGACAAGCAATGTTTGAACCAACCTGTTTGAGTCTGGTACTGAGAAGGTATCGAGTTAGTCGACAGCTCGCTATCCTCATTAGTGTCACACTCGGATGAAGATTCGACTCTACCAACTGCAAAGACACACATATTAAGTTAAAGCTCCCCCTCCCAGTCTGCAATTCTCCTGTATACATGTACAGCTTCACCAACACCCAGAAAATACATAATTGAATGCAATTGCTTGAACATTATTGTCTGCTTTAGAAATAGAATTTTTTATCAACTTTTAAAAAGAAAAGTAATATTTATGGCAAATATCTGAATACATTTGATTCAAGCTCAAAACTATCTTTTACAAAAATTCAAGTTTCATGCAAAGTAAAGCCACAATCAAAACTACATTTTAATTTCAAATCGAACAATATACTATCAAAAATGTAATTTAAGTACAGTAAAGGATACAATACAGGTAAAGCTACAAACTTTTTTATTCTACTACTAATTTCGGTACAGTAAAAGATACAATACAGGTAAAGCTACAAACTTTTTTTTATTCTGCTACGTAATGTGTAAAGTAGTTACACATTACATGATATTACTTTTCTAAAATAATGGGCCTCAGTCACAAAAGCACTTTCATTAAATGAAACCTTCACTTCAATGGGCAAAACAGACCTCTAAAAAGTACACACAAATTTCATTCAATGACTTCATTGAAAAGCTGTTGTAATTTTAAATGAATATATTTAATTATGAAATCTTTTAAGTTCCAGTTAATATACATGTGTATACTGCACAAATAAATGAAATTTACTGAATGTATAAGTTCACTGAATATCGTGCTGTCAGAGAAATTATTGACACTCCATCAGACACCATTACTGCACGCCACTGTGCAATGTTAACACTCGCACACTGGGTGATTTTAGACAAATATGAAAAATAAGAAAATGACATTTCCGTTGCAGTTTTATTGAAACACATTTACCCAAAATTACATTAAAAATAATGATAATTTATACTTTCTTCTAATTTTCCAGACTATAGTGCGAAAGCTACAAATACTTCATCTCTACACAATGAAATTCCAATTTCTCCCACGCTATTCTGAAGGTTCAAAACAAGTTTTGGACATCAAAAGATGCAACCATTAAAATACCAGCCTCTGCTATAATAAAAGAAAACTAAAAGTTATATCAAATGACATAGATTAGCAATAGATAAAACTTTGCTTCTGTGACCAGTCTCATTACAGCAATTTTTTTTGCAGACAAACACTAAACCCAATATTTAATGCTCATGCATACCAATTTGTGCAAAATTCAACTATTTACATTAAAATATACAATTACAAAAATTAAATTTAACATATCCAGTTCGGAAAACACTATTTTGAAACATCAATATAACCAAAATAATTTATTTCTTATAATCCAAACAATTGTATAATTCATGGAAACAAAGGCATATTTGCACAAATTAACACTTAACAAAAAATAAAGAATTCTAAATCAGGAAGTACTTTTGAAATGTCTACCTACTTAGCATGTAACTACCATTGTGCAAAACGATGCTTTGCTTTTCCAGTCGAATTAAATGGTTTCCAACATTTACCTCTGAACACATAGTTTAAAACACTACATATACATGCATTTTGAGACCAAGACCCATTTTCAGTTTATGAAACACTTTTGCAAAACATTACGGAATTGCTTTGAAACACTTTTTTTTATCTTACTATGAACTAACAGTTCCTGAAAACATTATTTTCAACAATGACAATTAGAACAAGTAATTTGATAGTACTGAAATGTTATTACGAATCCAGTGATGATTATTTATTAGTATGTTTTTGTTTTGTTTGAATTTTTTTTTAGGAAGACGATCTACACTAGTACTAAAATAAACATGCAGTTGTAGCAGCTCTCACAGAACTGGACAAAAACACAATTTCAAGGTACTTTTCTATAAATGTAATTTTCAATTGATTCGAACATGATGTTGCACATGCAAATGTGAAGAGAAATGCATGAGTGAACTAGACTTTAGACAAAACCTGCCTAGCAAAAACCTTTTCTCCGTGCTATTTAAAATTTCTCGTGCATAAATAATTCTACCAAATTAGTTTTACAACTTTTTTTAATGACCATCAAAAAAGTTTTTTCATTCCTCATGTTAAACAAAATATAAGTATTATCATCAAAACAAAAAAAGAAATCAAATAACTACAAAAAACTATACAACTGCCGTATACAACTACTTAATAACTGTGTTGTAAGTTCCACCTCCAATTCTGAAGCTGTATTCTTGTCCATTTCCTTGTCTTTCTTTATTCTTACTGTAATTCCTTTTATTGCAGCCCTTATAAAACGAAAGTGCTATATCAGCCAAAATGCAGTTTTTCTTCCAAGACATAGAATACTGATGATTTAGAATAAAATTAAACCTTTGGAAAAACAAACATAAGAACCAGGCAAAAAGTAAAAATAACCATGCTCCAAAAAATAGTTTTTTCATTCAAACGCAGCAATGGCTACAGGACATATAGACATTATATTAGACACAAAAAAGCATATCAAAAAAAATTCTCATTGAATAAATATTCAATGTTTGTCCATTTCAGTCTGAGAAAAACTGCACTGTCCCTTATCATTTCTACCTCCAAAAAAATTGGCTATATCACAGTGGAACTAATGCTTACAATGAAAAGATAGTTCACAAAAATTAAAAGCCTTGTCTTCTTGCAATCTAAATACTCATACCTGCAATCTCTCCTCCTCCAAGATCATTTAGAATTTTACGATATGATGGTCTCCGAGTTAAAATATCTCTCCTCGTCTTTTTAGCAGACTCATCATCATTGGATAGACTGTCATCACTTCCTGCTTCTACCACCTGATTAACAAAGAGTAAATCAGTGTGCAAATATATCAAAATAACAAATTAGGCAGAATGTTTTCTTCTATTATTCTCTCAGAAGCTTTTACCTGCAAAGTTTGTAGACTCCCAGGAGTTGTCTGAATCACAGAGTTTGGCTTACTAACTAAAATTACATTCCCTTTCTGAAGCTGTACAGGCTGAATATTAGCAGGAGTCTGAATAACCGATTGCTGATTTGGTTGAATTACTGACTGGACCTGTGGTAACAAAGGAAACTAACGCATAGTAGATTAGAAGTAATTTTCAAATTCACATAAACTACTGATCTTGTATCTCCTTGAATTTCACTTTCACAGTATATAATGAAAAATAATCATTTAAACATCACTTTAACAATTCACATCACATTTCTGATTAAAAACATCCACTGTTAAGCATTCAGACAAAATAGAACATCAATCCAAGCACTTACCAAATAATAAAATTTTGTTACAATTGCAGATGAAAATAATTGTTACTGTCACATTAACAATTTTAACAAGGCTTAAAATTTACACAATCTACTTCCATTCTTCTCATAAGTAAGAAAAGAATGTTGTCAACTACTTCTACAACTAGCATAATATCAAGAAAAAAATGGCATACATCCCTGTGGTATTTCAGCATCAACTTGTAAAATTTTATTTTAATATTTAAAATAAAGTTGTTTTTTTTACATTAATTAACACACAAAGATCAAACCTTTTTAAATCTGTCAAACTACCCAAAATTATTCTCAAAAATTTATTTTTTTTAAGGATGGAGAGAATATCATAGAAATAAGTAGTTAATTTAATTTATAACCTTTCGCAATGCATCATAAAATAAACGTACTTTTATACCTCCCCACCCCAAAAAAACCTTTGATACATAAGATAGTGTGACAGTACAATACACTATTAAAATAAAAATCGAAGGCACATAATAAACTTAACAAATTAACACCAGCATAATGCAAGCCACATCCCAACACATTTTGCAAAATAATGACTGACCTCTCAAACACTACAGTGAGCAATTTTAAATTAATAAAAAATAATATTATCAGACATCATTACTTTCTTGTTCCTTTTTATAATAAAGTCAGAATGCCACTGAGGTGATAGTTACAAGTCACAGTAAAAATTTTCTTTGGAGAATTAAAATATATAATATTCTACTCCAAACAATATGCAAATTACACAAAAGAAAATGTAATATTGCAGGAGTGTTGTGGATCTTTGTTACTGAAAATATGTTAACTTCATACACAAAACAAATGAATAACAAAGAAATGTTTAATAAAAACTATTGTGCAGTATCTTTACCTGGCAGTTCTAACAGCAGTGATCGATGTCATGCAAAAACTATAATTGTAAAAATATCTTCCTAATACATGCCAACTACAGATTGAAAATATTAACTTCACAAAAGCTAAAATAGAAAACTTTTTTCATACACACTACAAGAATGCTACCAAAATATTTACTTTAAACATGCAACGACAGCATTACAATTAATCACTTTTTAAAACACTGATTTATATATAACGCACAAGTCCATATCAATAGTAAAAAGTAGCATTAATGTGTAGTTAACCATTAATTGCAATCCTCCTAAAGAAGTCTGCATTACATCTACAGACAAAAGAGTGGACTAGTAATCATCAAAAATTTGCCAGAAGAGTCAGTACACCCCAATAATAATTCTACTCAAATTTAGAGACAAAGTTTTATTGGAATACAACCTACTATTGAGTTTCCCAAGAGTATAATTTGTTTCAAAAGCTCATATTGTCCAAGAGTTAATTGTTAGCGAATGCCAAAATATCATGAAGTAAACATCTTCAGACAAATGCCACATTACAAAATCTACGAGTATTCTAATATATTTAAAGACATCGTAATTAATAATACTAGATTCTTCTAGCCAGTTGTGGAACACTTGTAGCAGAGAGGAAAATAAGGTTTTCTCTATAATCGAGGTATACAGTATGTGAAAAAGATTTTAATGTTTCAAGCATTTATTTCTATACCATTTTACGTAATAAAACATGTCCAAATCTTTGAAGGATTATGAAGTGGTGAAAGATTAAAATCTCCCATGCAGTAACAACGCAAGTCGCATAAGCATGTCCAAATAACACTAAGATTAATACACTCCACAAAGAGCAAAACATTCACTGCTGTTTAAAACATGTCCAAGGAATTTTATCACAATGTCAACCTATACAAAATGATGTCATGATAAAGCCCGGAGTGCATCATTCAAATTTCTAAGGGGCCGGGCACCCCTGTACCTGGGTTGTAGCAGTATTGTTGTTTACATGTGTTGGGAGAGTGAGTTGCACGATGCTGGTGGCAGCCACAATCTGATGTGGCTGAGAAGAGGAGGTCTGTACCGAAGTCACAACCACTGATGAATTAGTGTCCCCAGGAGAATGGGCCAAGGGATCACCTGGAGGGTTGCCAGTTGTCCCGTTCTCTTCCACCATTCCGTCCATAGCCTTGGGACGTTGCGTCCTAAGAAACAAAATTTTAGATACAATAACAAAAAATTCACACGAAACTCCCACATCATTCGACCACTTGTGGTTGTTCTTGTGAATCTTAAAATGCCTAGCACGAATCGTGAACTTCAATTCAATACTTCAATATATAAAAATGAAATAAAACAATGACACGCAACAATAACAAAATTAACCATCTTTGCAAGTATAACAATAGCATTATCTCCACGCTTTAATACTAGTTATTTTTAGTCACACAGTCTTTCATGTTCCTTTTACTTTCATATTAGCCGGGCAGGGAGACGTAAGCGAACGATGCGCTACGCTTATTTCTAAATTTACACATACTAGAACACCACACGACGCCATATTCCATACCTCTTCCTGTAAGGAAATATAATAGTCTCCACACATTTTCTATATGCTTTTTCACTAATTTCACGTCCAAATCACCATCCAAACTGAACTATAAACACAGTCCACGCTTCGTTGTTATTATTCTTCAGCTGAGTACTTACCAGTTACGTATTCCTCGTCACCAACTTTGCTGCAATCCGAGTGGGCAAACAGGCAAGTACGTAGTAGCCACGTCAAAATTCCTGGGCCTTCGTCACAGGGCCACGGGGAGGGGGCGAGTCACGACCATCCAATGAATGTATCATTGCGCGCAGCTGAGATCCGAGTTAAAAGAGCGTGAATCTCTTTCAAAAAAAACGAAAAAACATTCAATAATAGACAATTTTGATATTATTTGGTCAATCTAGAGAATCCATTCAAAATATTTTCACAAATCTATTCCGTAATTCGCATCACGTTTCTGAGACTGCGTATCACCTGGCGCATATTAATAAAATATATAAACAAAACATACATTCAATAAAAATGCAGAAAAAAAATTAGCAAGTTAGTCCGTTCAATAAATCTGCTTCAAAATACCGAGACCATTCGCTATACAGCAAATCAAAAACACCAAGGTCGTTACGAAATAGCATTAGTCACTATCGCACAACAAAATTTTACATCAAAGGAATGTGTCAATTACCGGAGTTTATGGTGAATTAGTTTACTTCGGATTTTTTCACTTATCAAAATAAGTTTTCTATTTTTTTTCGGAGAAAAAACTGGGAACTATTTAGTTACATAACGTGACTTTCATGTGACAACGCGTTGCCACAATTGAGTGACTAATAATATTCAAATGCAATATTGCAAGGTCACGAGGTTTTCTTTCCTTAACTCCCAATGTCGCTTATTCTTTCGTGGAGATGACATCTGTGATGTTATTGATTTTGATTTCCCTGAGCGACTGCGATAGAAGTCTGAGATAAGATAATTCTTAACTTAAAAACGCTCAAAAGGTTCTGATTATGATATAGGAGTAATTTTGTAATTGACGTCACGGAATGACGTCCTTCCTTTCGCAGTTTCAAAGCTGTTCGAAAAGGCCTTCAAATTCGGTTTTTTTTGTTCTGAAATTAATCCGTTCGACAAATTTATTTTAAAAGTTAAGAAATAAAATAATTTACAAATAGTACGCTCATAGATCAAAATACTTGCCTCCCGAAAGGCCAACCTTAACTGTTATTATACAGTAACCTTCCTCGCCCAAATTATATAGTATTTTTCTGTTAATTCACGTTTCAAAATGGTACCTCCTTAAAACAGGGCTTAATTTTTCAGTGTTTCACAATAAATAATACCGAAATGAATCTAAAAGTTGCCGAATGCAAACGACGTCGAATACTAGAGTACAAGTCATCCGCGTTATGCGAACGCATTCATGACACACCTATGCCTCTTACGTCATTCGTCGCATGACGTCACCATGACTCAGACATCGTGGGTTTCACATGAAACGCCTGACGTCGTTTGCTTTTTTGTATTTGTATATCCTTGATACGGACTAATCTTCCGGTGGCGACAGATCTATTTGTCTTGTCCCGTCAACAATATCAAAACTGAAACAGGCAAACTTACAAACAAAAAACCAACCAACTCCGCAGTTTTGCGAGTTTCCAATGTTTTATTGTATTGTTCATATTAACAAAATATTTTAGCAGATGCCATTAGCATTGTTTTTACGAATAGTAAACAGGAAAATATATTATATTGGACTAGGAAAATTACAAGTTGCACAAGACATTAATATTAATATTCCACAGAATTTATACCAAATTAGTATGTATCTAAACAGACTTGACAGAGTGAGAGTTACTTTAAGTTCTTTCCTTATTGGATTGATTAATTTTATTGTTAAATATATACTACAAAATGACAATACTGAAATTAGGAAAACTTCTTGACAACTCTCTTTGTGATTATTTCATATCATTTTGCTTTGCGCTTTTGTCTCATTTTCTGGTCGAACACCGCCAATAACTATTTCACACTGAAAATAAATATTCAATAAATCTTATTTGAGAGTCTACAATAATGTTAAAGTTCTGTAATTATACAAGACTAGTAAGAATTTAAGACAAAATTGTAAGCTGATAAAATAATTAATCCAGCACATCAAATGCTATTTTGAACTCTCAATCTACAGTTGTCTACATATAATGCTGATACACATTTCAAAATTTTTAACAACCAGTCGTTCTGTGAAATTAAAAGCAGTGAATTAATTCCTACGAAAATAACAAATACAATTCACTGCAATTAATTATATCAATTAATTCACTGCAAATTAAATAATAAATTATGAGGTATTGATCATCAATAATCTTACACACTTCATGATGACTTCAATACATTCTGAACTTTGGTATTATGAAATAATTGCACAGTAATTTTGTACAAATATACATATTTACAATGAACACAAAAACTTACTAGTCAACTTATATTACACATTGACAAATATTAAAAATGATCACCCAAAATAAAGTTACAAACATTTTACAAAACCTGAATTTATCTTTTTGTTTCAGAAAAAATTCTTACTTAAATATTTATATTGCAATACAACAAATATAAACAATAAAGACATTAATCGCCATGATCCTCTTAAATGTGGAAGGAAATGAAATACTGACTTAGATGATAATTCACATAAATGGTGTAAAATAATTTCAATATTGCAATATACTGACATGTAAAAGGGGAAGCAAATGAAAACACAAGATTAATAGTACTCTGGAAGTTTTGGGTAAACATGTTTCCATTGTATAGTGAATAATTCTAGGTCACTACAAAAAGGCATCCCCAACTTCTGGTTTATCATATTCATTTGGAAAGTAAAAACTAAGAATTGTAAAATGGAAAAAGGTACCAACAGCATTCTGTACTGAAGAAGGCTCTAAAATTAACTTCTGTTATTCCTTTCATAATTATATTTGTTATTATAGAATCTGTTTATAAGCACCAAAAGCATAGGCGTTTTTCTGCAACTTGCTAAAAGATATTTCTGTGACTACTTTTCAGGCATTTGACAAGAAACAACACTGTATTGGGCAATTTACTTTAAACAATGTCAACTATTATTCCAAATGAGCTTTGAATTTACAATTCATTGTAACTTCACTATCATTTAAGTAATTAAAGCAAAATTTGTTAAGCCTTTTCCAACTTTTGATTTACCACATTCATTTGGAAAGTAAAAACTAAGAATTGTAAAACGGAAGGAGGTACCAACAGCAAACGCAATTTCACTTACAATTATTTTAGAATTGTACATCCCTTCACACTCAACCCTGCTTACAAAAAACACACAAGTGTTTTTAGAGGAAATCAAAAGTTTTAAAAGAATTCTGACCATTTCATCATAGGCAGCAAAGTACACTTCAAAATAATTAAATATCGAATTATGATTTGCACCAAGTGAAATATTTTTTGTAGGCTTAACAAACAGTTTGTCCATTCAAAATGCATAAAGAAAACCTAAAATAATGCCAAGTGTCTAATTGACAATTACTCACTTTGAAACTCATTTTTTGAAAGTACAATAAACTGCAGAAACAAAGACGTTCAGCAAACTTCAATTACTTCTGTAACAATCTGAATAATGTGATATTTAGCAATAGAAGAAAATCACATCATTTTATTTTACATGATTAATATGAATATGAAATTGACATAGCACCTCATTAAAAAATATTTGGCTCTTTCTACAGATCAAAATTATCTCACATTTTTATTTAATATGTCAATCAAAAGACACGCGAGCATAAATGTGATACAATTAAAATTCCATCATTTCATGTAGTTGTTGAAGGCACAAAATTACTTACGATTGAAGATTCAACTTGATAAATGTGATTTCACACAAACCACTACATTCATTCATAAATACACATTATACTTCATGTAAATGCATTCAAGTCACTGCCCACAAACATTCAAAGCAATACAATAATTTTCATAATACATCAATTTTTATGTACAAAGTATATTTACATTACAAAATTTGAACACTTTTCATTTTATTTGTACTATATTAAAGACTATTTAGTTCAATCCAAAGAAGTCTGATGTAACAAAATTTTTAAAAATACAGCCCTCAATCACTCAATAAATCTGTATAAAAATAAATAAAAAGTTCATGTAAGTTGATATAAATGAAAGTAAATCTTTCCAATGTCTAAAATACTGAAAAGATTATCTTGCAAATAAAAAATTAACAATAAATTCTTATAAGGCTTTAGAACTTCAAAATAATAGTCAATTACAAATAAATTTGCAGAAAATACTATACTCTTTTCATAGGAAGTCATCAGTCTGGTAGCATGTTTATCATAAATAACAATAACAACCAGAGGATTAGAAAAATGAAACAAAATAATTACAATATCTTTCAAATGGATATTAAAATATTCAAATATGTATAAAACAGTATAAAGCTACAAATAATCAAAGACAAAATGTCCTGATCATATTTGAAAATATAAAATTCTGCAGATATGTTATATCAGACTTCTTAACGATATCACAAAATACTCAAGTACCATGTAAGGTATATGGCCTTTGTCACAATTATTACTGTTCATAATATAGGTTTCCAGTCACTTCATTTCAACTAGCTACCACAGCAACTGAATAAAAGTTGTGAATACATCTAGGCACATTATACCACACTTATGTTTACTGATGATTGAATCTTTCAGTTCAAATTACTATTCCATGAACCCGAAACCGATACAAACAAGTGTATTCAAGATTTCCATGATTTGATTCAATAGCAAGTTCAACAATTTGATAGGACGGAGCTTCCTCATTCTGAAATTTATGAAATCATAAATCAAGTACTTATTCCAATTGTTATTTATATAGATTTATTTCAACTAATTCTGTACACACCTGCACCGGGAATATTTGAAGAGGTGGCCCAGTAGCTTGATACATGTACTTTCCCAATAAAACTGGATCCCTGTCAGTTTCATTGTTCAAACCCTATGACAAATATTTACAATGATTATTAACTCAAAAAATATTTCTTTGCATAGATAAGATTCTTTTCAAATACCTTACCTGCACTGAGAAATTTTTAGGAGCAGCATCTATATTTCCAGCATGTGATATAGATACAGGAATGTGTTCAATGCTGAATGCTGACACTTTAATTCTTTTAGCTAGTCGAATAACCAAATAACCTTGAGCTCCACGAAATGCCCAACACTTTCCTGGATGAATCTCAGGCTATAACATGAAAAAGGAATTCCATACAAATAAAAATAAAATAAAAATGCATAAATTGCAAGAGCAATAAACGAACTTACTTGAAGGGCAATACGTGGATGGTTACTAGACCACGGGAATGTCATTCCTAAAAATGACAATGCAAGTGATCTCTCATTGTAATTTTCTGTACACCTGATATTTATAACTGTTCCTCCTGAAAATTAACCAAAAACCAACAAAATATGAATAACTGAAGTACGCTAAGTCCCTATTGACACAAACATAATATTCAAGATTTTTCTGAGACTGTCACATCATTTGACAGCGAAAAGAAAAATTATAATTCTTAATCTGATGAAAGTATACCTGAAAAACGACTATGCTGCAGAACTCCCTCTTTTTTATTCACTTTCATTAATTATATATTCAGAAGTTTATAGTTGAACAGATAACATAATTCTCAAGAGACATGAAATTAATTTTAAAATATAAAATATCTTTGTCCAAAGCAGTTTCATTGACATTTTAGCTGATAAATGAAGTATGAATTAGTTCAAAAAAATGTAAAAAAACTGATAGTTTTCTCAGAAAAATTTTATTCCATAGTGTGAACAGAGAAAATTGGGCACCAGAAGCAGTAGAGCAATGAAGGAAAATTCACCAAAAGATTACACAAAAGCTTATGCAGGAAATTAACCTCTTTATGATATCTTTACCATTACACTAAAGAAAGTGTTACACTAAAGAACCATATCTGGTCATAATAATCCACACATTAATTATGGCTTACAATGAATTTTATAACATATTTTTTCACATTCAAAATGCTCCATGAGAAAATCATTGCTAAATATATCCTGATATTTGCTTAAAAAAATAATTAAGAAAATAAAATAAAATTTCTTTAAAAACATCTACCAAATCTTTCTTATTAGTACATCACCAACAATGAAAATAATTATGTTGAAGCATTCAATAGTAAAAGTATAGCAGTACTAACAAAGATATATTATATTTGATGATCTTAAGCACTTTTTCCAGGTTTAGTGTTTAAAACAAGATAGTATTATAAAATACCTAGAAAACACCAGTGACTCATTAATTTTATCAAAGGTGTGTTGTGTGTGTGTGTTGTGTGTATGTTGTGTGTGTGTATGTGTGTGTTGTGTGTGTATGTGTGTGTTGTGTGTGTATGTGTGTGTGGTGTGTGTGTGGTGTGTGTGTGTGGGGTGTGTGTGGTGTGTGTGTGTGTATGTGTGTTTTGTGTGTGTGTGTATGTGTGTTTTGTGTGTGTGTGTATGTGTGTGTTGTGTGTGTGTGTTGGGTGTATGTTGTATGTGTGTGTATGTGGTGTGTGTGTTGTGTGTGTGTGTTGTGTGTGTGTGTGTGTTGTGTGTGTGTGTGTGTTGTGTGTATGTGGTGTGTATGTGGTGTGTGTATGTGGTGTGTGTGTTGTGTGTGTATGTGGTGTGTGTGTTGTGTGTGTATGTGTGTGTTGTGTGTGTATGTGTGTGTTGTGTGTGTATGTGTGTGTTG